TAGCCATAATTTCTGCAACTCTGAAAATGTTTTCATATTTCTCTGGGTGGAAATCTAAAATGTCAAACAAAGTTGTTGAATCGATGAACATAGCTAATAAACGTGTAGGTACAAGACAAATACTGTATGCATGAAGGAAGATGATCTTGCATTTATAATTTAAATTTGGTTACAATCTAACTAAAACATAAAGACAGTTAGACTTAATATATATAGACAGATTAGTTTACCAGGGACAAAATTTGCGAGGTTTAAATATCCTTTGATATTTATCAGACAGTTAAATATCAAAAGACTCATCAAAGTGGCAGAAACAATATGACTAAAAAGGGAGGAAACGGTTCAGATTTTTTCTAAAGTTAAACCTGAGAGTAATCAAACAAATACATACTTTTCTCTGTAGGAACCATGAGAGAGACAGTTTATATAATTAGCATAACAAAACAGACAAATCGACAACTATTTTTATAAACAAGTACGTTTAGATTATTATAGAAAATAATTTGGGGGGTTGGATTCTAAATGGAAATTATTCCTGACACCGGGAAATAAAAACTAAAAAAGAAAAAGATTGAACATTAATGACTTCAATGGCATGTTCCTTACCTGAGCAAGTTTCATCATCATGTGAGCAAAGACATGTAGAAAACCCACAACAGCGTCCCACAATCTGCTGTGGGCCAGAGATTGTTGGTTCCCAGTACAGGGACCCTGAAAGTTAACACACACATCGGCAAATAAAGATAATATTCATGTGCGCTTACAAATTTGGAAGACATATTTTTTTCTTTGTAACCAAACCAAATATTTCAAAAATTCTAAAAAGTCTGATTTTGGGAACAAAACTGTGTTTTGAAAAATGCATATCCTAAGCAGGAATACAAAACCTGTAGAATTCCTTATAAAAAGTCAATTTACTCTGTAATGTACAAAGTTTAGATCTGAAGGGGTTCTCCACTTAACCACTGTCTGGAGGGCCGTGGCAGTAGACCCATGTTTGGAATATCCCCTAGAAATCTTATCTTCCACTAAGATTTCTTATCATTCGTGCAGCAAGATTTTTACCTGGATGTACTCAGTCAGGCTGTTGAACACCTGCTTGGCCACAGTCATTGCTTTGGAGAAATTCCTCTTGCCAGGCTCATCAATTATGTCTTTTCCTGAGTAGTACCAGTAAAAGTCACTAATGGACTCCTGCATGCAGGAACAGGAGGAAGAACATGATGTTAGCAAGGGTTCTGGATGACTTGTTTAACTCTCAAAAACCTTAAAAATATCAGAAGCTAACTGTAATATCTAATTTTTATGATATACTGGACTCATATTAAGACTGTTGTCTTAAAACTTAAAGGCTTAAAACTTTCCTTTTTGCTAAAGCATATAGTTAGGGCTGGACCAGGTGACCCTGAATCCTCCCTTAGTTATGCTGCAATAGA